TTTATTATTTTTAATGTAATAAATTTCGAATTATTTTTTCGGATTTATTTTAATTGCACATAAAAACGCGGCCCTTTTTTTTCAGTTACAAATTATAGGTTTAACATAAAATTAATGGAAGAATTAATGTAAAAAAAAGGATTTGAAATAATCCGTAAAAGTTAAAAAAGAAAAATTGCAAAATTTACATTAAAAACAATTTATTACAATAATAACTTCTGTTTCCGGAATGCTTCAGGCTCTTAAAAGAAATAATTTAGTTTTGTTTTTAAAAACTTTTTAAATAAAAAAATGGGATAATTTATCCTAGAATTAATGGGATATAATCTCGAAAACAAACAAGTATATCTTTTATATCTTAATAGGCAAGTCCGTGTATTTGAGTATATCCTTTTCTGAATGCACGTAGGCGTATTTACAGACAGATACCTCCCAAGTACATAAGAAGATAATATGAATAATCCGGATTTTTTATTTATCTAGAAACCTTAAATTTTCTTATCATATTTATAAATTTGTTCGTTATTTTTTTCCAAGAATAATTTCAACAAAAATTCCTATTTAAGAAATTAATTTCAATTTTTTTTTTTTTTTAATACGTTTCTATCCCTTTCAAAAATACTCATTTTTGAGCAACTCCTTTAAAAATTAAAGCTAAAAATGAAAATATAATAATAATAATTTAGAAATATATATTTTTAATTTTATATAAGAAAGACGTGATTTAAAAAAAAAATGAAATTAAAAATTATCATACAATTTCTCAAAGAAATAACATCAACGAAACGAATACAATTGAACAATAAAGAATTACATTTTATATAAATCAATATATATATAATCTTAACATTGTTTTTACTAAGGATGTAAGTTCTTTATTGAATCATACTCAGGATGTGGCCATTTGACCCGAAAGTATCAATGTTGCGAGAGGGAATTGGTTAGTTAGAAATGATTGCAACTACCAAATGCCTATCACAAATCCTCTTTTTTTGTTGTTGCTTCACACACACAAAAAAACACACAATACAAACTATTAATTAACGCAAAAAGGATATCAGAATTCATCAATAACAGTAAAATTAGTTATATTTAAGAGTTTATTTTCATGCTTTTGGCATTTTAACAAAGCGGACTGAATCAGTTTTGATCGGTTTTTTTGTCACGAATTTCCTTTTAAATGTCATTTCACTTTCATTTCTATAGCTTTAGAGTGTTTGCTGTGGTAAGCACCGGAATTTCTTTCAAAGAATAACGTTACCAAATAACTTTCAATTTAAATCTGGATTAGCATACAAATTCAGTGATTGTGCTACTCTTTTTAAACTATAATTATTTATTTTTTCTTGTTTAAAAAGCTAAATAAATAAGTTACGCTGATGTTAAAACAACTTAATTGCATTGGTAACATTAATACAGTACTAAGGAGTTCATGAAATATTAATGAAGCTTCAGAAGTAATGGATTCTACAACGTTGATGTAGCATCAAGGATTGTTAAAACTAAGTGGTAATATGTTACTTGAGACGAGCAATTTTTTTCCCTTCTTTATTGGCTTTAAAGAAATTTTTGTAAATTTCATTCACATCGGTTATTTTTAAAGATATTTGAAAAAGATAACTGGAAGCTGGTGTACTTATTTTTATGAGATGTGGCCAAATTATTAATAGCTTAAAACCCGATACGCAGTGTTTTACATTTTTTATAAGTTAATATGATATAGTATGGATTGAATTTTACTCAAAAATATCTATCATCATATAGAATAATTACTTTTTTTAGTTTTTGTTATTTAATTAATTTGTATGCTTTGTATCTCATTATTTTTTTCGTGTAATTAATGAGAGAATTTCCATAAATAAATATAAACTTGGGTTATTTTTTTTCTAGCATGAACTATTTTTTATTTATATTTTTGCTGTGTTTATTTAANAGAAATTCTAGATGAAGAATAATAAGTTTGACCAATAATAAAAACATTTATTCGCTCAAAGTTTAATAGAAAAGTTCAGAATAATTAATCTTTCACGAAAAATATTTGTGTTTTTACTAAAGTAAAATCATGATTAAAAGTGTTTTAAAAAATATTAGAACTCTTGCTGAAAAATCAAGAGAAAAGTTTATCACTTTCATACGAATTAACGATAAATTCGTTAATTTAATTCCTAATAATAAAAATAGGCATATGACTAGAAGAGAATAGGAAATAGCAGGTTAAATACATCGAAAACTATGTAAATTCTTGGAGAGTTTGCAAAGTGTTTCATCTGTCATACTAATATTTGTTTTGTCTGCCAATTTGCTCGAGTTTTTACGATGTCTGCTAGAAACTAAACCATGGCCACTTGGACACAATCCAGGAATGCGTACACTATAAAGGAATGCTATCTGAAGATGGATCTTTTCCAGTAAACCACATTGGAAATTCCCTAATGTCAAAATACTATCGCCAATGTTGACAAAAAAAAAAACAAAAAAGAAGTTTTATGAGCGAAAGTCGATGGTATTTCATTCTTCGGTTTACTAACGGATAAACACGTTAAAAATTCTGAATATACTATTTTTCGCATCCGTAAATGTCAATGTCCAACAATTTTCTTAGTTCATTGCTTCGCGTAACTTTCTATAAACAGGAAAAATATTGCCTAAAATATAACAATATTAAACATATGCAAATTTTAAGGTTTAGCCTTTTACCCCGCCGCTTTTCCGGATGTAAAATTCCCTCCTCTCTCCCTGTTTGAAAGGAGATTTTGAATAAGAATTTTAACTTGAAAATTAAAATATTACGAGGTTAAATATTAATTAAGTGTAAAGATTTTTGTAATTTATGTAAAATACAGTAATGATCATATTTAATATATAGAAACAAAGATTAAAAATCAAGAAAGACAATGACCTTTAAGTCATCGGATCATTGATTAATGATACGATGCTTAACTTGGATTAAAAAGTTCACCGAACTGATCCGATGAACTTCGTATCTTGAACACAGTGGTCCATAACCAACACGTTTATAAAAAATAATTTTCTACAATAAATAAAAGCGCAAAAGTATAAAATATCACTATTTACCACATTCGTATATATAATCTGTTTATTTAGCAATGTCAATATTCTTTCCGTATCAATTAAACTTTGATACATGCATTCGAATAAATATTATTTTTGATAACAAAAATCGAAAAAATAAGAGATTTAGTATATTATAGGACATGACAGTATTATGTCGGGATGGTGTCCAGGGTCGAATCAAAATCAAAAAATAGTGATCGAATCAAGATCTGTGCTTGTCCACCTTGCCACAAATTTTCTTGGTAACACGCTGTGTTTTGGCATGACTGGACAATTACAACATAACTGGATAGGTTGCTTTGATTTATTAGAAAATTTCCTAAAAATAATAATATAAATCTAGTCAAATTTATACTTCAAGTTATATACCTTTCAGTGGTCTACAAATCAGAAAAAGATAAAAGTTCCTGTATGAATAACTGAAAACATTTTGGAATATCTAAATATTAGTTGTTATTCATAAGATATAGTTGTGAAAATCATGACTTGCATACTTTTTAAACATGTAAGTGGCTCATATCTAAAAAGGTTAAGTGGTTTTAAATTTTTAAAAACGTTGATCTAGGAAGTAGCAAAAGAAATGTCTTCCACGTTCTCTGATAATTTAGCATAACTTTCATTGATGCATAATTAATTAGGTTAAAATTTTGTTAATTTTGTTTACTTTATAACTGATGAAACTTTAAAAAGAAATTCGTAAACGAGTGCATTTTTTTTTAATAGAAGAATCTGATGACAAAACCGCTTCACGTAAAGGATGGGAATAAAAATAGATTTATTGATATTTTAGACAGATGGATGTAAAGAAAAATGAGGAAAATGGTTCTGTCTTATTGAAAGAAAGAAATAATATTTAATTATTTAAGTGTCAAACAAGACAGAAGTTTTATTTATTATTATGCAAATTTTAATGCAATCTTTTGATAAATTTAAAATAGTTTTGAGGATTTGTATGGTTTTAAAAATTGCATTTGAAAGCAATGATTTGTAAAATTATAAAATTTCGCTAAATATATATTTATAATTGAGACATTGTATTGCCATTAGATAGTATAATTTCTATTATTCAAAAGATATAAAGATAGAAAAGAATCCTTAAACAGTTCTGCATGAAAAGATTTATTTGAATTTGTAATTATTTGGATGAGTAAATAACAGTAGGATTTCTTATTTGTAAATCTAATCTAATGTTTACAGATGTTAACGGATCGGTTTCTTACATAATTATTAAAGCGTATTTTATAACAAACCATCATTCTACGCCATTAAACTTTAAATCACCGAATTGAATTAAAGGTTTTAATTATTAAACTAAAATTACATTCGTTTATAAGCGAATATTGTCGAAAATTGGACAAAAACTTGGCGGATATATATGAAGTAACTGTTTGAAAAGACACCGCCAGGCGTGGTTGACTCATCTATATGCACCCCCAAATTTATCTGCTCCCAATGCTGAGTCATTAAAGGTAGGCCCGCCATTGAATGTCTACACACGGTTGGATGTGGTACTTTCGATTTACTCAATCGCCACTACAATTATGATAGGCCTAGATATGAGTCATAGTCTACTCAGCAGTCTGGAGCCAGAAAATTTAAGTATCTACCCTTTTTTAGTGATAACAATTCTGTTGATTAGCTTATGGAATCTTATAACTCGTACGTAATAGGTTTGTTTTTATTCGCGTTAACTGTTCTTTGTACGGAAACGGAAACTAAACATGTACTGTACGTACTAGCTTACGGAAACTTTAATTTAGTTTAATTCAAAAATTTATTAAATAACTATTTTCTCGATTATTATAAAGAAATTACATTTAAATTGTTGTAAAATCTTAATAATAATTATAAACAGATGAAAGATTCCTATAATATTAAATTGAAGATCATCGATAGAAGACAATAAGGATAATCAATTTGCTTACCACAGATATATAAAGGGAGTTTAGCAATAAATCTAGGCATGTATGTTTGAAGATGATAATGAAGGGCGAAAGAACCAGACAGGTTCAGAAATTTGTGGCGACACCGGTCAGGAGGATATGAAGAAAGAAGGAAAGGTCAACACAGCTACAAAACTGGTTTCTTTTAACAAGTTGAAAAACCCGATGGTTTTAAAACGACCGTTTTATGTAGGTCTAGGTTCGAGCATAAAAAAAGGAAACATCCATTCTGGCCGTTTTCCATGCTAATGCTTATCGTGGATTGTTTTCAAGTGGCAACTATAAGATGCAGGTGTTCGATGCCAAGTCGGTTGATGTTACAGTCCACTGATTATCATTGGCCTCTGCACGCTTCGATAACTAGAAGATATTCTACTTCTGTCCCGACCCCGTTCGATTCACCTGCCGGATGTAACACCGAACATCATGATTCCATTAGAACTATTTTTAAGATAAGGTTACGAGTTTCTTAAAAAACCGACCGTATACCCTAAAGGCTTCGATCGATCAAGTTCGATCCGACTGATCGAAAAATACTTCATACTATAGAATATTCTACATCCCTTCGGAGCTGGTGTTCAAAATAACACGCATCGATCAAATATATTAGAATCAGCCCAGAAAGATTTAAAAATTCAGGAGTCATTGACATACCATTGTCCGCTGGTATAGTTATTGCTGCAACATATCGATTTTCCATTCTAAAATTGGGTATAGACATAAGCTTATATATCAAAACCCGAATAAATTTAATATCAGCTCTGTTTTTATGAAAGTACAAAAAAGACGACTATAACATGCTAGTTCCATCAATTAATTCAGAAATTATTGTAACTAGTGGTGTAAGGGATGAAACTCACTAAATTTGGATTTACGGTTACACTTCTCTCTATCCTATATAAAAAACTAACAACATTGCCCATTATAAGCTTACTAAAGTTAAAAATAATCCGTAAAATGTTTGGATAGGGAGTCTTTGAAACAGTGTTTTTTTAGAATAAAAATTCCCTAAAAAATACCCACTATTGGCCTCTTGAGAGTTCTCAGTCAACTTATGATAATTCAATCTTTAAAAACAGATCAAATAATAATAATAAATTTAAATATAAATATTAAAATAATTTTTTTAATATGTCAGCTGATAAATTCAAGGAACGATATTCAATAAGTTTACCTTTCAAATCGGAACTGAATTGATAATCAAAAAAGATTATTACAAAATGCATCATTCAAATATGCAAAACATTTGATTTTTATACTTCCTCCCTCAGAATTAAATCAGCAAGCTAAAAATCTCAGAACAGCAGGATCGATACTAATAGGACAAAGACCCTTTCTTCATCCACCCACGCAGATCTTATTAGTAGAAATGTATCATCGAAGGAGACTAATTATCTGCTGTAAAATTTTGTTTGGAATGGCTTGTGACTGATGTCATTTTACCGTCTGGATATAATAAATGTCGTCTTTAATCCATCTAATGAGGAAGATAAAACCGGGAATGACATCCACGACGAGACACCCTGATCTAGTTCAGATATGTAAGAAGGTTACGAGTAGCACAAGCTCATCGTGTGACCTCAATAAAAAAAAATCAAAATATAATTCCAAAGTATATTAGTTCTAATTTCCTATATTAAAAACTCAAATTCGATTTTTTAAAATCAAAAGTGAATAGATCTTTTCAAAGTTTGGATCATTGTAAGACATCATTTAAAAAGTGATCCACTTTTTAAAGGTCTCCGGTTTCTAAAATTTAGGTTACTAGAAACAATTAGGTTCTTAGTTTCGAGTAATTTTACAAATAAATAGAATAGAATTTCGAGACATTTTAAAGTATCTACATTAACGTAACTTCTTTTCCCAAAAAAAAAAATGTAGGTCTGGATCTTCCATTTGCAGTTAGGAATGGATCCGAACGGCGAGCTCAAAAGATGATTCTACTGCATATCAATATTTGCTCTACAAACATTACCATCTTTAATAATGACGATGAAGCTAAATTAAACATCTTTGACAAAGAAAGGAAAACCTAACTTAAAAATTATGTTTGCTATAAAAGATCGATCCTTACACTAATAATAATAAAAAAAACAAGTATTTTTTAATTCCTCGCAGAATCAAACTGAAAAGAAGAATCCAAAATTTCAGATATTAGTTAAAAAATATTTTGTAGAAAAAAGGTCCAGACTGTAAATCCCCCCAGGGTTATTCAATCTAATACTGTCTGTACTGCAACAATGCCCGCAGTGTGTTGGAGAAAATGAATTTCTCCTCCACTAAAGGGAGATGAAACGAACACAAACCGAGGAACTCTTTAATTTAATAAGTAATGATCCAAACAACGAAATCGATGATGGATGATAATCCACGTGAATGAAACTTATCAATTTTTACTTAAATTCATTTCACAAATGGAAAAATTCGGTGGAATGATTTCTATGTAATAATAGTAATAATTTGAACATTTGCATTTTCTTACGCGAACGTTAACCCTGTCTTACGTGATAAGTGTAATAGACTAAATAAGAGTACAGATCTCACCTTTTGTCGGTAAAACGTCCTCCAATGCTACGATAACTAGCAGTCAACGCAGACAAAACTCACAGTTCCACCACAGATCAGAAAACCGGGTCTCGTTCACCATATATGGAAGAACCATCAAAAGCAACCAGTGACGGTGCATTCGCCATCACGTGACCTGCAACGTGCCTACTGATTAGTCACCCTACAGGAAGCTAAGATGGCTGTATCGCTCTGCGGTTATCGACGAGTAAGCTCGTGTGTGGATCGAAATATAGCACACGTGCGGGATGAAGCGTCACACGTGAAGATATTTTCCTGGTCTCGATTTTTTTTTCTATAAATATATACATGTCAGGGTTAATGTGCTTCTAGGCAAAGAAACACGTGTCTCTAACAGGTAAATGGCCTGTTGATGACGTAGTACATCGATCGCGAATGGAGAAAGAAAAATTATTACACGTAAAAATACGCTGTACTCTGTACACAGAAATGTCGTAAAAATACATCCGCGAACGTCACTGTTCGATGATGAAAAATAAAAAAGAGAAAATTTGTCCCTTAGAAATGCTTATTTATGCTTAATTAAGTAAAAAACTAAAAATAGATTTCTGTTTCTCTCTTAATATGATAAATTTTGTCTTTGTACAAAACCATTACATTGTGTTCGGTGCATTCAACAGGAAATAAGGACGGTTTTCCGGGAGACAGTCTACACATCAGGTGCTGGCATTTAAATAACGTTATGGATGGTTGGATTTGTTTTTCCGTCTATAAGGATCTCACAGACTCCCTAATGAGTAAATAATAAGAAGTCGGAAGTGCTACTCGTCCTTCTATTCTTATGGGTCAGTTCGATCCGTTTTTAATTTGAGAACACTGTGAATGACAATAAGTTTATTGAACCTCTTCATTTTATCTATGCTCATTCCAAATATTCGAACTTAAATCTGGAGGTTAAGTTCAAAATCTAGTGTAATCCTCCCAATGCTATAATCGAACGTAATAACTTTTGGAATAATTTTATGGGAGATTATTCATATGGGATGAATATTATACGATTATTTTTGTGCGTGTTCTCTCCGGGCTTGAGAGAAGTGAAATGGGACACGGATCAGTCGCAAATATATGGATCACACCCGTCCAAAAACCATAAAAATATATGAATAAAATAAATTAAATAAATCTTAAATAGATTTTTATATCATTTATTAAAATAAACTTTAATTTATGTTACTTTCATATCGTGATTTTAACATAAAAGATTAAATTTTGGGGCTTCTTTATCTCAGGGCTTGTGTCAAATACCTTGCTGGCCTCTTCTATCTGGGCCTACATCTCTCTTAATATTAATCTGTGCTTTGTCATAAGTGAAATTTCGAGTAAATGAAATTCTTAAACATTTAAAATCACTTCATTATATAAACTGATGATAAACGACAAGCTCAGAAGAGCATAAAGCCTTAATTTTCAAAGGAATTAAATGTTTCGTAACCATAAAATTTTCGTGTTACTCTATCAACCATTTTAAGATAAAATATTTAATATTTATTCATAATAATAATAAAAAATATTTTAGCAATTTTTCTACAAAACAATAATAATAAAATTTGTATTAGAAAAATACTTGATATCAAATGAAAATAGAATAATAGAGAAAATATGAACAAAGTTAATGCTTTTTTTCCTA